GCAGAGCCAGGAGGGGCACCAAGGCTACCTGGGGGTGCAGCCCCCCGGCCCCCACCTTGAATCTGTCCCGGGAAGCAGAGCTCCCCCTCCTTGAGGCCTCGGGCGGGTGGAGCTGGGCCTCCTGGCCTGGGCTGAGCAGCCCTCAGGTCACCGCTGCCTGGGGAGGCTCAGAGAGCTGCTGCAGCAGAGGGCAGGTCACAGTGGGGGAGGGGGGACACCGGGGAGGAGGATGGAGCGGGGGGGCACGGGGAGGGGGGGGCGAAGTCTGACGCCCACTCCCCGCTCCTGAGTCTTTGTACCACTTCTGATTTGCCATCTGCGGGGCCCACTTCACCTCCCCGTGAGGACAGGGCACCTCACCACACCCTCAACTCCATGCGTGGGAAACGGCCTTCAACAGTCAGACCCGGCATATTCTTGAAGACCGGGAGGCTCAACATGAAATGTTACTGGCCCGTTTTAGTGTTTCGTTCCTGTTTGTTCCTATCCATCAATGTATTCATAAGTTCGTCATGATTTGTCAATTCTGAAATCTGACTTTGCTATTTTTGTTGTTTCCCAGATGCTTTAAGGATAATCACCAGAACCTACCTTTTCAGCATGGAATTGTGTTACTTTTCCTTAAGTTACTCGGGTAGAATAAAAAGTAAACATAGTGAACTGAACTACAGTAGCCTTAAAGTTTTAAATAGTTCTAGGCTGTGTCCACTGCAAACGGCTAGAAACAACCAATATGCCATTTATGAGCAACCCCATCACCACAACGTGGGCTTGAAATCCCTTTTCTACCCAAAGAAAAACTGGGGAATTTTGAGAAATGACCAGGTCTTCATCTGCACATCTAACCCCACGTGAAGATGTCAAAATACCAGGAGCCAACAGTAAGAATGAGTAAATGAGGTGGCAACCCGGTTTTGATCTAGGTGAATAGAATATTCCCAAAACAAGATTTATTCAGTGCCTGGAGGGGTGACAGGGAAGCAGCTCAGGTTCTTCACTTACAGGGACTGTGGAGGGTGACAGGTGAGCCTCCCCCACAGCCCCACCCAGGCGCCCCGGGACGGGCTGTGGGGCGTCTCCCCGTGGGAAACACCGGAGTTGAGCTCCCGCCGCGCACAGACTAAGAGCGATGACCTGGCGTCAGGCCTCTCGCTGTCCCCTCGGCAGACAGCGTCAGGGCCCACAGGCCCGCGGGGGCGGGAGCCCAGCGCCCCTGCAGCCCAGGGGACTGAACCCGAGTCTGAGGGAGCCCC